GCTCAACTCAGCTTTTCCCGTTTCAAGTGAGCTGCCCCCTCCTCGCTCGACTGCAGTTTCTCTAGAGAAAAAGCTGGAGATTTCTCGGAAAGAGCTCCAGAAAACGAGTTGGGAAGAGTTCAGGATGATCGAAGGATTAAGAGGGAGTGGGGTGGGGCGCACCAGAAGAGGAAATTTCGAGGGGGTTGCACCTTGCAAAATTTTTCACCAACGGCAGAACGTGCCCTGCTAGTCGCGGAGAGAGTTCAAGGGGTCACGTGCGCATCATTCGCACCGAGACCCAATCGATAACGTGGCAGTGCTACATTGCGTTAAGTCAACTAGCCAGGAAAATGTTTCGTTGAGTTGCGCGCGATTTTGGCTCGAAACTGACCATATACAACCCTAGACACGCCGTTGAATGACTTCTCAACGGATTTATGAAGCAAGGCACCATTAACATTGTAGAGGTCATTTAACGGGCCGCGTGGAACCTGCAAAACCCTTGATGGGTAAAGAAACGTTTGCCTGAACCCAAACGGTAGAGGAGTTCCAGGGTGAATACAAGTACAGTAACTCTGTTCGGATGAGGCTTATCCCTGTTCCCAGTGGAAGTCCTCCCAGTTGTTCGAGGTATCAGTTGGGTCAAGACGTTCTCCAAGGTTTGTAGGCCCCCTCAGGATGTCTCCTTTACTCATCCGATCCTGCTCCCAATAAAAAAATGATGATAATGGTTACCAAGAGAATGCTGAGTTATGGGCAAAAGTCAGACCACGGACGGGATTCGGACCCGCATCTTCCGACTTTTGCTTTTACATTAACAGCTTAAAACTTGTAAAAAGCCTTCAGCCTTGCGGTTCACTGCCGATATCGGCTAACCGGCTCATCACGTTGAACGTGTGAGTGCTCGAAGGCAATGGCACAAATAGCCATTGAGCTGAGTGGGCAAAGTGGCCCCGGTAGCGTAATAGGGAACCACCTGGTAAGCGGAATTTGCGGGTTCGAATCCCGTCCGTGGTCTGACTTTTGCCCATAACTCAGCATTCTTGTGGTAACTTTCGGATCGCGCACTGCGGCGTTAAACAGCAGTTATCAAACAATAACAGATGATAATGGTCTTCACCATTGATCAATAACTTTTCGAGGTACGGCGAGCACTCTACTTCCATTCAGGATCGTGGTGGCTTATTGAATGCGTGTTGTGGCCTCGGTAGCGTAATAGGGAACGCAACTGGCCGTAGCAGAGAGAGCGGGTTCGAGTCCTCGTCCGTGTCGACTTCTTGCCCATAACTCAGGCATTCTTGTGATAGCTTACTGAATGCGATGTAATGCGATCTATACATGACTTGTGAAGAGCCAGCCGTTGTACCAGTCAGTGTCCTTGTCCTCCCAGGCGGTTCTGATACCGAGTTACCTACCCTGGTAAGTAGAAAGCTTGGTCAGCCGAAGCCGAGCCGTGATTTGATCGCGCGCGTGGTAAGGGTGCCACTAGCCACATCACCACTTTCGCTTTCTAGAAAGGAAGAGAGAATAAAGATAATCTTACTATTCGACCAAATGTGGTCCCCGTCTGGAATCCTCGATTTGGTGTCTTGGCGTAAAATCTCTTTGCACCTGACAGTCTTCCGACATCATGCTTAATCACTCTAGCCTGCTTATCCAATTTCCTGTGAATGCATCTGATGAAAACCCAATCCGCTTAGGATACAAGACAGCCGCTTTCGTCGACCTGGACAGCTTATCTCTCTTTTTTGCTTTTTAACTTTCTTTCTTAACGTTGCTATGGCATTCGCCCTTCCAGGCCCAGAATGACGTCCATTGCGGCAGGTTTAGCAGGGCAAATGTTGTCATGCTGCTTGACAAGCTTTGCCGTGAAACCTAGGATTAGTTGGAAATAGCTCATCAGGTCCTTGAGAAGCAATCACTGGAATTTGCTGAGCGCAAGTCAATTCACCTCCCTTGCACTCCCCAATCACCCCCGAATGCACGCACGTCATCGCCGTATGAACAAGCTGCACACAACCTTCACATGCGTAAATACACTCACATGTTTGGCTATGCCGATGAAGTCATGGGAGGTAAAAGTCAACAAATCGAAATGAAAGCGCGAAGTTCATTCCCTGAATCCATAGCAGTTCAAAGACCCGCTCAAGTGCGAGTGCCATGCGAGGATGGGTAGTTGAAAGGATACACAACAGAACACTTGAGACTAAGGGAGGTTTGGACCGGGAGTCGTACGTTGGGAATCACCAGCAAGGGGGGGGCTCGTATTTGGTCAATGGGAGGATAAGGTTCGTAACTGCTTTTAGGAAGAAGGCTTTCATTTGCTGGATTTTCTAAGGTCTTCGCCGTTTCATCTTGCGCCAGCACCGCTGTCCTCATTCAATGTAAGATAGGCGGAAACTGGCACGGTATTTTTTTGTTGTAAATTAGTGTTTTTGCCGGTAAAGATGAATACCTCTGAAAAAAATGGTAGGAATGGTAATACACTCAGAGAGAATTGTAGGTAAGGATGGCTGTGGGAAAGAAGATAGGGTCATAGCAGAGCAGCAAACTTAGAAGCGAAGGTTCGTATTTTTGCAAAATTTTTCACAACGAGCAGGAGAATGTCCTGGTTTGATCCGATCCACGACCCAGCATCGTCGGTAAACTCGTGCGATCCGAACGGCCTATCCGCGACCCGACCCTACCCACTAATTCTGATAATCAGAGCCTATCGAAAGGAAAAGTTTTAAGAAAGCTTGGTGAGACGATCGTTCGGTTGCGGAACGGGGTCATACTGGTAGGCAAGTTTCGGGGGAGGGGCGCGTTTAGCAGAAGATCCCTGACCAAGGAGTACTTGATGGTAAAGGCTACTCAAGCCAAGCAAAGATGGAGCAACCACTACTTATAGAGTGCAGAACAAGAAACGTCCGAATGTCGAACTGATGAGGTCCAAGAGGATGCTATCTACTGCTGTATAACCCAGTGAGCTATGTGCCTCTGGAGGGTCACTCTTCAAGCTTGGCTGCAGCTACGTCTAACGCTTGCCCAAAAAAAATCCTCGTCATCCTGTCTAAGTGAGAAAGAATCAGAGAGCACGACAAATTCTTATGTTGACTGAGGCATTTAGAACGTATCACGCTGTCTTGTTGAGAGGGTGCAGACGAGCACAAATGACGAGGTTTAGTCCTGCTGGAGGGCTGCTCTGGTCTAAGATAAATGTGGGCAACAGCAGATTCACGAGATGTAACACTAAGGTCCCTTTTGGACAAACGGAATGCGCAGCAGAAGCGCCTACACGCTGGCGATGGCTAGAAACCCCGCCCCACTCCTAGAGACAAAATGCCCGTGAAATCGTACAACTAGCTGTCTTGTGTTTTGTTGTTGTTGTTGTTGTGTGTTGTAGTTGTAGCTGGCGTTGTGACTTGATTTTCTCGTCCTTGTTGTCCGTGGTGCAGCTTCTGGGTTCTAGTTCACGTCAGGGTACCTCACCCGCGCTTCCCTAAGCGTTCTCTGCGCTCTACGTGCCGCCAATAATCGTCTAATGACTAACATCGGCCGTAGTTCCATTACTGTCTTTGTTACTCATTTGGACCTTACAAGTTCAATGTTTGGACATTAATTACTAAAATTCTCCACTGCGGGATGCCCCCAAACGATGCATAGAAAGATTTTTCCACATGTTTCTCAGCGGCAACCTTCATGGCACATTTAATGCTGATGGCCGTCATGTGTTCTGAAAATGCATAGATTCTGCCATAAAAATAACTTTGATGTCCCGTCATTATTCTTGAACGGCACCATTAAAGATCCAGCAGAGATTCGTGAGTGCTTTGGTTGTTCTATTCGTTGATTTGGAGCCAGGAAGGAACCTCGTTATGCCTAATTCAATCTCACGATCCCGATCCGATCGCTTCATTTAGACTGCAGGACGTGATCTCTCGACTTTGACTCCGGTCGGGTCGAACCACATCTTCTAGTGGGCCTCTTTTAGAACCCAAAGTCAGAGCACTCCCACGTTGGGGGAGATTTTTACAAGATACGGCCTCTATTTGGTACGATCCCCATCCCCATATCTTCCTAGACTTTGCTAACTTTCTACCACCTCTACGCAGTTTTTTTCTTCCAGAGGTTCCTTAAGGTGCTCCTGGAAAACTGTAGTGAAACGGAGCGGTGCGGGGAGGGGTGGGGAAAAGGCGCTTGAAACAGGAAAACCTAAAGGAGTCAACAACCAAAATCATTCTCTCTTAAAAACCCAATATGGCACCCCGCCCCTCCCCTGCAGCGACCAAATACGACCTACATACTCGCTGGCGATCTGCAAAGTACGGTGTGCCCTGCCCGAAATTGCTTCTCAGATATTTTTTTCTGCACTTCCCCATCTCGCTCTTTTCTGGTGTGATTGACACTGCTTATTATCCTCGCATACTCCTGAATAATCCATCCACTGAAGGAGAAAGTCTGAGAATTAGCACATCCAGGGAAAAAGAGCCCTTGCTTCTCCTCCATTTTATTATTAACGTTCAGTTCCAAGTCGGTATCGCTTTCCTTTTCCTGGGATTAGTTGTTTATAGGGCTTGTTTATTGAATTGGCAAAAGGATACTACCAGTGTTTTCTGAGAAGTTCGGAAAGCGCTAGCAACCATAAAGCAGGCATTTCAAGGACTCCTTGAGCAAAACTAGATTCCTCGTAATGGAGGAGAGGACTTTGCTAAGAAGAAAAAGGAGTTCCGAAGTGGGAGGACCTATTTTAAGTATGGTAATTCTATTCGAATGACGTTGTTCCCAGTTTTGCACGAGGACATTCCTAAAGGCAGTTGGCACGATGAATCCCCAAGACGTAAAGGACTATAACGCCTAGCAAGACTGAATTTAGCGCCCAGTGAGCAAACGCTGCGTGCGCCCTTTTCCAAGGAAGGACCTTCAGGCACGGCATTCAAGGTTGGAACATACCGACCCGGCAAGCCCACTCGCACCGCCCACAAATGTCCGACCGATCCTGATTCTCGTGTAGCTTCATAGTGCAGTTCGAGACGAAGGACTAATATGAAGCGACCGTGGTGCTGCATGGATATATGAGTATAGACATGCAGCCCGTATCTTTTGTAGCGGTTATTGGCACGATGCCAACGGGGAACTCGTCCGAAACTGCTTTCTGAGTCGTGTAGAACAAAGGCTTTTTTGCAAGTTTTTGACCGTTTCACTTCGCTTTTTCGCCATTCTCCCACTATTCAGTATCTGCTACCATTTCAGAGTACCAAATTATCGTGCCAACTGCGCTGAAATGCTCCCTCCAAGACTGAGCTTTGATGTATCCTATTATAGTTGAAGGACACTCTCAAAGCCCCCGCAAAAGACATATATATCACGCAACTCTTCTCTAATTTTAACAACAACGCCCATTTCACGAGAGCATCTTCAAGACGTCATCTTCTAGGAACGGCGACGCGGCAGTGGAGCGACGGCAGCAGTCACAAGATGAACAGCACATTGGGAAAGGGCCACACTACCGAACTACCCAAATGTTCGGATGTTCACTATACTATCCCGAAAAGGAGGAAATATTTTTATCCTTACGATTCCTCCAGACCAGCAAAAGGGTACCAGCCTCATCCCGGTAGGTAAAAACAACGGCCTGAACATCAAGTGGCCTCTGAAAGCTGCGGTATAGGCCAAAACGGGTTCAATTGCCACCATGACTCTTGTCATTTTACCCAAGACTCTCGGGTGACTTTCGGCTGTCACTCGATATATCTTATTTGGCCGAACGTGAGCCTTTCGAAACAACTGCGTCACTTCGCCCTAACTAAAAACGTTAAGATATTGGTTCAACTTCTCTACAATTTGACTAAACTGGATCTCCTGGAAATGGTCCTCTGTTAAAGTCAGCCCCCGAACTCGAGCAATTAGGCGCCCTTCTTTGTGCAAGTTGTCTGGTCCACACCCTCTAGGACTATCCTACTTTCGCGGCTTTACAATAAGATACGAAAGCGCACCGGCCTCATGAGTGACAGTTCTGACGCCTCTCTAGATGTCCCGCCCACCAGAACTCAAAGGCTGTTCTCTGTCATTTCAGTTTTTGCACCGTGTTTTTGGTTTTTTTCACTAATAGATGGTGTTAATTGGATAACGCGAAAAAAAACGAGTAGTAAGCCGGAGGCGGCAAGATCTTGCTTTTCTGGCACAAAACGAGCAGGTTCAAGCAACTCGTACAGGAGGCTGCCAACACCTTGTACGAGGTGGGGTCCTTACTTAGAGTTCTCTATGATTTTTCTAGGTTTTTCTTCCCTGTAAAGTCATTTAGCGACTACAGTTCTGTAACTGAACGCCCTTGTCCTAAATATACAATCGCGGGGCTTGTCTACGAGCTGGAAAGCTTCATAAAATTTCTTTCTAAAAAATGTTTGGGTCATACGCCATCACTCAATTGCTTTTTCAGCTATGGACTTTGGGAAGACATAGAATTTAGTCCCATTTTCGCATGTAAGGATTCAGATTACAGCGCCCCCCCCCGAGTCGTTTTGGAAGTTCCAGCGCTTATCGAATGCTGCCTCTCTATAAGATGAATTCCTACACCCTCCAGAGAATGTTCAAGGGTTCATATCTCAGACATTTTTGAGCCAATTCCTCCCTCCGTGATCCCTTCATTCCACTGGTTGAGATTGCTTTTGTCTCTCACTAATGGAGCCAGTCATTGTTGCAATTCCCTAGAGAGACGATGTCATCTCGTCTAAGGCTTCGTAACTGACGAATGGGTGACGCGCTTTCTCTCTGGCTCCCTCTTGCCAAGCAACTCCTCGTCCGCGTCGTCGTCGTCGTCGTCGTTTATGAGCACAATCGAAATTGCATTCGGTCACGGCACGGGACTCTATTCGATTACCTTTCACTCACTGCTCACATGCCCAAATCCAACAACTGCACGACGATGACAACGCCTGCGCGCTCACCTAGAGCCTTTCTATTTTTAGACGTCAATTTTCCCCGCAAAAATTTGTTAGGCGCTTGTTTAGCCCATTTCACATTATTTACATTCCCATTACGGCCTCACTCATTGAATAACTGCACAAAACATCTTCAGCGATATTTTTATTTCATTGAAATCCGTATTGAGCGTCAGATTGAGGGCGAACTGATGCCTTGGAGTGAGAGATCCCATGGCACCTACACCATCGGTAAGATCGGATCCCACTCTGGGTAATTCAACCTCCCAGCTCTTTCGATTTAGTCCATGCTTCAGCTTATTCGTGAGTGAAAAACATCGAGTTGAGCAGCTGCTTCAGAAGATTGCGTGGGCCAAGTCCAAATCTCTCCTACTTTAGGGTTGCGTGGGCACATGCCTTGAGAACAAGTGAACATCGAACTCCTTTATTGTCTCTTTTGAACTCTTGACGGCTTTTCTTTGGATCTAATGAGCAATAAAGTCGGCCAGCTGCAAAACTAGGGATGATCAATTGCTAGGGAGCCCTAAAAACCGAAGAGTGCTGAAGCGGAAGACGCCACAGTTGAGCGATGGAGGGGGAGGGGAGGCGGAGGCGTTGTGCACTTTCACTACTTCCCATTGTCGCGTCGTATCAAGTTATGGATTCTCGTGAAGCTATGCAGTGGTACAAGGCAAATTTGTAGAAACTGCTCGTCAACTCTTGTTAAGAATACTTGTCAAGAGCAACATGTTCCCCCCCCAACTCGCGAACTGCGCTACGGAAGATAATTAAGTAAAACAATTCTATAGGATGCCTCGAGAAACCCATGCAACGGCTAGATAATAGACAACCTAATAGGCGGAATCTTTCCATTGCATAGGGAGCCCGGGCCACAGTCGCTAGGGACCAATTCAATGATTACCTGGTAGGCAGAACCCCGAACGTGATTCGCACTCCCAACGGGCTACATTTTTGCGGCTCAAAACTCACCCAAGAAGTCTCAGACCGTCATTTGCGCCAGTGACCAGGGCTGCCAGTAGCGGCCCCACCCACAGGTGACAGCCATTGGTGCCGTCACGTTGGTGTCTGTCGCCTACTTCGTTTTTTGTTCTTTCATCCTTCGCCTCTGGTCTCTCGCTCACACTCCCACTGCCTCCTCTTCTGCTTCTTGGCATACACACCTAGTGCTCAGAGACAACTACTAAAGAAGAACTTTATTCAGCGCTCCATGGGCGCAGTTCGGGAGGGGGCAACTTGCACTTTCGCTGCTTCTCACTGTCATGTTCATCGCTTTACAAGAGTTGACAACTAGCTTCTTTAATCTTTCACTGGTATCACCTCATGGCTCAAAAGTGCCCCCCCCCAATCCGAAACTGCACCTTTTTGACGGTTTTCTTTTGCTCAATCCCTCACTAGAAGGCCAGCTAGCATTTACGGATTCACACTTAAACCCCACCACTTACAACCTTCAATCAAGGGATAAATCTTCGACCCCGTCCACTCTTTTTTATGAAATTGAAAATTCTGGTTGTCATGTTTACTACTACAATACAACTTCTTTAGGCAGTACCTTCAATGGTGAAATACACCAAAGAAGTGTCGTTCATCTTTGCTGGGTCCAGTTCAACAAGCAACAAATGGAGTTCGAAAAAACGCCCCGTGACCTGGACGATTCTCCTAGTGAGCTACCGAGAGGGATGACTTTTGGGTTCTCGCAATTGACTTACGCGGGGAGCTCGTCAGTTGTAGTGGGAAATTCAGAAGCACATTCACCTCGTCAATGGCGCGCCAAATAGCGATTAATCCTGGTGAATCGAGCAATTTTCACATGACGTGATGTTCGAACTGACAAGGAAGTCAGAGTAGCTTTTACTAGCCAAACAAATAACGACGTCTCGAAAACAACACGGTTATTACATCGGCAAAGGCTTCTGGGCACTAATCTAAAGCTCCTTAGCCTCTCTTCGTTAGTAAAAGCGGTCGCTTCGCAGACGAAGGAGTGTAGAGCAGGGCACGCCATCGCGTTGTGATCATTTCCTGAAAAATACGACCCCCCCCTAATTCTATCCTCAAATACGACCCCTCCCCCCCATGCTACCTACCACTTTCCTAGATTTTCCCAACTTCCTACCACTTTTTCCATTTTTTCCCGAAAAATTTCCAGTTTTTCAGCCAAGAATTTTCCGTCGAGCGGGGCGGGGGTGGGTATACCCAATGTGAAATAGGAAAATTTCCCAGATTTCCCCCCCCCAGTTTTTTCCAAAATTTCCCGAAAATTTGTTTCCTGGTTCTTCCCCCAAAATTTTATCTGCGAGGGGAGGGCGAGTCGTCAAGATTTCGAACCCCCTCCTCCACCTCAAATACGACCCCCCCCTGTGACCATTCACCACACGATGGCGTCCCTGGGCAAAGACAGTCTGTAGAAAAGACAGAACAGTGGTATTTTGGACATTCCCAACGAAGAAGGGTCTATTCTTGCGGAGACTGAGGAGGAGCGGGCAGTCCAGGCTTTGAGATTATAACTTTTTCGGTTTCTTCCGTTTCATGTTGCGCTTTAACCCTTTACTATGTCATTTTAAAAAAGCCAAGATATTTTCAAATTTTTGAAAGGATAAACTGGGGATAGTGGTAGGTATAGCAATTGTAAGAAGCTGGGAAATTCAGGAAGATTATAGGTAGATGCGGGTATAAGACTTTTAGCACCGTTGGGGGTATTTTGCCAAAAATTCCGCCCAACGGCTAAAGTAAATATTTCAAAGAAATATTTCGAGTTACAACCGGGCTACAATTCTTTGATACGCTGGTGGCGCTTGAAAGTGTCTGCTGCTAAGATGCTCCTGGCCTTGTTTGGTAAACCACTAGATCCCGCTTCCAGATTTTGTATTTGCCAGTAATAGGCCTGCGTAAGGGCACAACCTGCCAGATTCCACTTTTTCCTTCCCTGTAGCAGCAGAATCCATCAGTGCAGTCTTTACTCCTTGTTTACTCACAGCTCAGTCCTGATAAGCGAAGAATGACACCTTTCGACTTATATAACCTGCATGGCGCATTTAGCCTTGCCTTCATATATCTATTTTGTCTATCGCTTCCTCGTTGACTTGATCGCACAGTCCAGGGCGGGGTGAGGATGGAAAAGAACAGAATGTCTGTTCAAAACGATTTATTTACTTTTTTCATGGCTTGAAATCCAACTTTGGCACGTCTATTGCGTAATCCATCAAGCTCATCCCAAGACAAACGAAGTACTGGACAAAGTCCGCAATAAGTTGGTTAGTAATTCCTTCTTTGGACGAGATAGCCCGGTCAGTCATAATGGGGGTTGCACCATTTTTACACAGGGCACAACATGCAGATGGATTAAATGGCAGTGTCAGAACGACCGTGCCCCCCCCCCCACCTTCGCTAAAACAGCTTCCCCACAATGGTTTGACTTACAGCTTTCCTGTCATTTTGCCAAGTTCCTCGAACTCCCTACTGGTCTATAAGGTTTTCAAGCTTTTTTTGCTGAATTTCCGCAAGAAAAACCTGCTCTAGGAAAGGTTCTTAGATTCTCGCGGACTCAGGAAAATTTCCCTTGAGGCCAGATACGACCCACCCCCCGCCCCACCCCATCGACTAATTACGCCTAGACACCTAAACATCGCCTAGACACTGCTCACAATACTTAGAATGACTACTCTTCATTTAATTTTTCCCAGACAAAGTGATGTTATAGCCCGAGGGGATGTCGGCGGATGTGGAGGGTTGAACGGCGCGCGATTCGTCACCCTCAGGCCACTAATCCATCTCCCTACAAACGAATGAATAACTGCTATCGGACTTTTTACGGACATTTCCAACATTGATTGTCTCTTCCAATCTGGGCAAGCACATTCACTTTTATGATGTCGAATAGAATCTATTCGTCCGAATCTTCATATCCAAGCAGAACCTTCTGCATTCTTTTTCTCAAACAGGGCACATCGTCGTTGGGGATTCCCCAACGGGGGGGGGGGGGGAGGATCGTATTCGTCTTCTGGGAAGAGGTTGTTGAGTTTTCTATTTCATGTGTTCTACCTCCTCCTTCTCCTGCTCGACAGCAGAATTTTCGGGAAAGACCAAGAAAATTTTCGAGAATTCGGAAAACTTATTAGGAAGTTGGGAAATCGAAGAAAGTAGTAGGGTAGGATGAAGGAGGAAGGGATTTTTCCCGTTTCACATGTGCTCCTTACCCCACTCCCTCTCGACCAGGGCACATCGTTGTTGGGGAATCCCCAATAGGGGGGTCGTATTTGGGCTGGGAAAAATTTATTTTGATAGTTGATTTTTCTCGCTTCACGGACGTTGTAAAGGGGAGGGGGTCGTACTTGGTCATTGTTGGGAGGGGGGGGGTCGTATTTACGTTTTGGCGTTGTAGGAGTGGTGGTTGACTTTTGGTGATTTTCCTGTTTCATGCGTACTATATGCGCCCCCCCCCCTCCGGTCGACGGTCAAACAGAGCGCCGGAGGGAGTGGGCGTTCGTCCAATCCCAATAAACAGGGGGTCGTCGTTACAGACTCCGACTTAAATTCCCAACCATGACTGTGCCGCTGCCTCAGAAGCTGGAGCGGAGGAGGTAAACCAGGGTGGGAGTGGTATCGAGTCACCTTTGGAATGACTCCTGCGGACTCGGCGAAAATCCTCTACTAGAGATGTGCCCTGTGCAGTAGTCTTGTGTTTATAAAACGTTCAGTTTCTCAATGAACTTCTCGAGCGAACGACAGCAAAGTTTCTATTGGTCTCCGAAAACGGATGCAAAGACCGAACTCCCTATTCGATCCCTATTAGTGCAAAAACGAACTCCCTAGTGTCCCCTATAGCGGCCAAAGCCTAAACGTCCTCTAATGGTGCCTATTCCTAGCCACCTACCGCTGTGCATTATCTTTGCCCGAGACTGCCTGAGAGAGAAAGTCCTTAGCTGTTATCAAGCACGATAGTTTCGTAGATACGTTCCAACCACTGGGTGCTTGGCGTACAATCAAAATAAATTATGTCCTTATTTTTCTTTTTCCTTTTGGAATTCAAGTCCTGCGCAACAGAGTTCAATATCACGCAAAATTAGCAGATACGGTCCTCCAAACCCTTCACTGGTAGAGACCTTTCCCCCCCTTTCCCATGTCCACCACCCACCGACTTTACCTACATCTCCTAAACGAGGCTGCGAGGAGGGGCGGGGGGAGAGGAGAGGAGACTTCGACCAGCGAGCAGAATACAGCTTCGCTGCTGAGGGTTATAGCGTATTCGAGAGGATGGTTTAGCGCAGCGCCTAGCGCACTTTTTCCTTGTTTTCAGGCAGAGCGCAGAGGACTGTATCATTATGTCATGAGTCAGTCGTCTCACCAACTTACCCGAGCTTCGATCCACGAGGCCTTTGCTGGCGGACGCACCGAACCCGCCTCAATGACAGCCGCGCTCACTATCCGCAGCGAACGACAGCTAGTATGAGGTTTGGACAAGCGCCTTCAAGGCTGGATCAGTGCATGCGATTTAAAACGGGGAAATTTCACTTATCAGAGACTTTTTCAAAACACCTGAAGACCGACACCCTCGCGCCAAACACGATTCCCATACCCCCGTTGCGATTTACACTTACGATGGCGGAGCCTTCTACTAGAAAGCTAGGTTGGCCTAGGCGGAGTCGGTCCTTCTACCCCGTAGTTAGTGCTGACCACATGGAGCACAGTTCCAGCGTAAGAGGAGGAAGCTTAGGGTATCCTGCATATCAGCTGAATCGAACTCCGGATCCGACCCGCAATCTTCTTTGTGAGCCGAATACGCATTAAGTGCTTTAACTAAAACCGAAATTCGCGGCTTAGAAAGATTAGTTAACGCCGAGCACTTTACCCTTTATGGCTCAGATCGGTTAACGCCCTTAATCTACCCTGCAGTGAAATGAAGGAATCAACGTCAGCAGTTTTACGTCACAACGAAAATCACCCATTAGACTGGACGCCAAGAACGGAGTCAGCACTCATTTTGAACTCGCAAAAGCATTAGCAAACCGGGTCGAATAGCACTTTTTCCTCAGAAAACGTCAACCGCCCCTTCAAGTCAATATCATCGTTGCTCTGAAAGAAGAGATCGTGAGAAAAACTTCAGCTTACATAGCAGCCTAGGCGCTCGAAAGTAAGGATTTTTATTTGCTAATTGATTGTTCAACAGTCTTCAATTAGAAGAAGAAATGGACATATGCAAAAAAACTACTACAAAAACAGAAGTTGTTTGTGTGATCCCTTAACCACATACAAACAACTTTTAAGGAAATCGTACCAAGACTGCCATTTCATCGAATTCAAGCTTCTACAGGTCACACAGTCATGTGACAGGTGGGGGCATCCTCCCGGCACTTCCCTTTTTTCTCTCACCTAGTTACAACCTCCGCGAATGCCCGGCCTGCACAAGTCCTTCGTTACATAAAGTGGCGCAGTACGCAAAGAAGCATCCACTACTTTTGAGACTCAAAAAAAAACTCGATAAGAACGTCACGGCTCAACGTCGATAAGCTAGCTCCGCCTCCGTGAGCTGAACCCACCTTTATCATTTCATTATACCATCGCTTTATAGCTGTCGGGTCTGGATCACTTGTGTTTTCTCCTGCCGTAGTCCTCTGGCATCCTTCGTTCACTCAGTCGCTCCGCCTCGTATGCTCACATGTATGGTGCTCAGGGTCAAGAGCACTCTGTTTAGCGCGTTTTGGACAGTCTTATTTGCTTTTTCGTTCTTTGGTACTGCGAACCACATGCTGTACCCTTTAGCTTGCATATGGTAATAGTGGATGCTGCTTTTAACTTCCCAAACATTTCTTTTATCGGCAGGGCACATCGTTGTTGGGGAATTCCCAACAGGGAGGGGGGGATATTTTGGCCCGCAGGAGACGGGGGGTCGTATTCGAAGCCGAGAAAAATTTATTTGATAAATGATTTTCCTGCTTTACGTGACGTTTAGAATAAGGGGGGAGGGGTCGTGACCTGCTTATTCTGTTGGGAGCGGGGGGGGGTTGTCGCTTCGTGTTGAGGCTTCTGAGAGTGAATGGTTGACTTTTCGTGATATTCGTGTTTCACACGTACTATACACGATGGGACGCCCTCCCCAGCATTCTACGGCTCGATTCGATGAGGGGATAGCAGGCCGGAGGGGAGGGGGGTCGTACCAAACCCCCTCCCCCTTCAAAAAAAGGGGGGGATCGTACGTACACGACCAAAATCCCCAACCAATAATGTGCCCTGTTTATCGGATGTCTTCTCCACTTCAAAATACGAGGAATGCATCACCTCCGCAACCCGCTATCACCCCGCACCATATCATTTTCACTTTTTAGTTGGTACTCGACTCTCCGCCAGGTTCTCTGCTATTTCTTCTTTTTTCCTTCCACTTCCTTCGCCCCCTTCGAGAAACGTAAAATATCCGGAGCTCCGTTTACCTGACGAAAGTATACAGGTTTCGTCAAGGTGTGACGTGTTTCAACAGGAACCAGCATAAGGAACGAACGAACGTGCAAAAAGCCCCTCCCGAGCAGAACGCAGCTCTTTTTTTATGGGAGAATCACTACAAGGGTTTTTCCACATGCATCAAAGGCGATGACGTCAAAATGGAATCAAAAGTGCATTTTGCTAATGAAATAGTTGTCGATTAGCAAAGTGAAAATCCTAATCGCACCTTGAATTAGCGTGACTCACCCATTTTCGTCATATCTCTCAAATATTCATCCTACTTATCAAATAATTATCACGAATATACGTCATGAATTTTGTGACTGGAATATTCCAGAAAAAGAAGTGACGTTTGTGAGTATCAAAAAAAGAACTTTCAGGTGCAGTTCGGCGACGGGGGGCATTTTGCACTCTTGTTACTTCCCATCGACGTGTCGACCCATCTAGAGAGCCATTTCCGTGAGCTTACAAGAGTTGACAGGTTCCACCATGGTGGCTAGACGAGCTTGCTCCAGCTTCACAAGAGTTCACAGGTTTCACCAGAGTGAGACTTGTAAACCGGAACCAGTGAAGCAGCAAAAGTGCAAAATGCCCCCCGTCGCCGAACTGCGCCGAACTTTCAATCTTTGGCGTCAATTTTTGATGTTTTTCTTTTGTGCCAAGAAGGTTACACGAAGAAAAACGATGAGGACTACTATACTTTTCTTTTTTCGCTTTTTGACGAATCTAACCACTGGCACTACTGCACCGTTCGTAACTTTGCAGCCCCTGCATTTATCCTGGCTTGCCAACTGGTGCAAGGATAAATAAAGAAGTTGGAAGGGATTCAAACTACAGCGCTGTTGGCTCTAGGGAAGGGGGGACGCTTCGCACATCCGCAAATTCCTTTTACTAGTTAATGTCAACTAACGACCACTTTGGTAAGACCTGTTAGCTTTTGTAAAGCTGCGAAATGGTACAAAAAGGCATTTTGGTTATGGCGATATACAGTTCTTCATGAAGCGACCTGTGTGAGCTTCACTGAGCACCATTTTGTGCCCCACCAAGCCGAATTGCGACTAACCTATTAACTTTATACTGTTAGCCTCAGAGGAGTTACACTTGAAGGAAGAGGATTTTCATAGAAAGCAATCAAGCAGCCGCCCAGAGAGGCAACAAGCATCCTAGCAAAAGAGGCTTAGCAATTTTTGCAGGACCCAGAGCTCTTGATAATATCTGATTTTCCTTATAGAAGGCTTACATTTTGCTTCCTTGTATAATCATTTTTTTGAAACTTGTGGCCTGTTTCAACGAAGTAAAGTTGTGAGAATCGAATTGGACAGCTCGGTGTAGTGGAAAGATGCGGTCGCCTATACAACGTGTGGTCCGTGGTCGATCTTAGGATCGGCCACCGCGTAGCCAGCACACAGCCTTCATGCCTCAGGGTCGGGAAGGTAGAACGTGCAGCTGTCTGATCAGCTAGCCCCGCGATTAGATGAGTCTCTCTCTTCTCTCTCTCTCCACCTCTTCCTCTTCTCTCTCTCTCCCATCTCTAAATAAACGTACGGCTCCAAGCGGAAAAAGAAACGTGAGACTGCGACGGGGTTCCGAGCGAAGGCTAAAGTCCCATCATTCCCAGGAAGGGGCAACTAGGGCCACTCAGATTTCGGATATGAAATTGAAGCCAGAATCTATTTTTAGTTGGTCCTGCTCTTGCCCCAATCACGGAAATGAACCGACAGCTCGTCTGTTCGACTGTTACTACCCTGGGCGGGGATCTCATTAGAAGATGGAGTCGGGGAATACCCCACTATTTCTGGATTTCTCCAGTGTTTTTGGCCGTCGAAGCGCCATAGACCATTTTATGTGACAGCTCCGGACCACTTTCAATCATGGACATGTAGACTCACTTAATTACTGTACAACATAGGCAGAAAAAAGTAGACAGAAAGCGAAAACAGATGAGGAATTGACTCACCCTGGTCTTCCACAACCTGAGGGGTGCTTGCCGTTGGTGCATCCATCAATACTAAAAAAAAAATATATACTTTGTAAATTCAAATTAAAATCAAAGCTCGAAGTGGGTGTGTCGGCAAATCATAAGAAAGCTGAATTTTTTGAAAAATAGAAATAGTGAAGATCCTCAACAAACGTAACTCGAAGACAAGTCGTAGCTGTTTTATGAGCTTCATGTGTCGAGTTAGGTTCATAGCTGTGTTGTTATTTATGAACAGTTTTGTGGCAGTAGCCCTCTATCCTACGTATGTGTTGTTATTTTTGAATTTTCCTTATTAATTCTTGAAAGAAAATATGTCACTATAATTCATGGCGTGAATAATGAATAAAGAAATAAACAAATTAGTAATTCTGGCAATTCATGAAGTGAATAAATGAATAAATAAATAAACAAATTAGCAATTCTAGCCTGAAAGCTGCTAAGCACCATTCCGCAGAGTGACGCTCTCATGCCTTTGGATGTTGGTAGGCAGTGCATTAAAGCAGTAGATTATGATACCTTCTTCTTCTATGTGCCTAACGATTGGTTGCTTAGTGCCCAGTTTACCTTTACCTATGACTTGACTTTCCAATGGCCACTTCGGCGGCTTCATTCCGGTTGCAAGTACTGTGATCTTGCTATCAAAGGAGCGGAATTGCAGGCCTCAGTTCACAGTAATATTTTCTTGTGGAGAGCGGTGTCCGCATCTGCAGCGGCGGGCCTACTCGTCAAAAGTGAAATGATGCTGGAGGGAATGCAAAAGTTGCGTTTACTCGTATCCATTACTCGTCCGCTCACGTCCCCGGTTGGTTTTGGGTGGCCACGCGTGCCTAGCTTCACAACGCTTGACCATAGTCAATCGCCTATATTGTCCGCGCCCTTCTCACTGGGAGGATTGTTGGTTTTTTGTCTCGCTGAGTGTGGATTTCGGCATGGCGGATCTGGTATCAAACAAGTGCTGCAGCTGAGGAATGACGCTATAAGGAGACGGCCCTCTGTTATCAACTCCCTTTCAGCCATTTTCGGTTCACTTTTGAAGCGATTCACAGTCATAACATATTCGTAGAGAAACAGATGGTGGGGGGGTCACTGAGGCCATTGACGCACCTTAAGACGTCGATGAAATGCTACGGTTCAGGTATAGGTGAATCCTGGCAGAATGGGTGGGGGGGGGGAGACGTTTCGAAGACTACTTTGTGCAAACCCGGTGCTTGTCGCAACGAAGATAAAAAGTACTGGTTCCTCAAACCTGAACGAGGGGCTCCAGGGAGGTGAATCTATATGAAAGGACGTTGGATATTTTATTGATTTATTTATTTTATTTTATTACATGTCCAATGACATGTGACTCACAACTAATATGGATATTCTTCAATAACATATATTACTACTATTACTATACTGATGACGCTACGGATATATCACGATGACACAATTCTGTGGGTGACGTTATTCCCACTTCTGCACAAGGAGCTCATAAGTCTTCCTTTCCCCCCCCCCCTTTCCCCAAGGGCTACTAACGCCCAGGCTTCCTTGTCATTGAGGTGCTGTGTGATAAGACAACTCATCAATGTGCTCGACGACACTTGATCTCGTGGACCTTCTACAGGTAATGGACCTTTGCCTGTACTACAGCGGCGCCTAGTGCAAGCAGGACACGTTCTGCTGTATGTGGGTAGGTAATTTTTGCAAAATACCACCTCCTCAAAGTTTTCCCTCTGATAGAACTTCTTTCCTCATCCCCCACTAGCCTACCATCTTTCTCATTTCCCCAACTTCCACATGCTACCACTGTTCGGAGGTTTCTCCAGAAATTCCTTTACTTTTTTTTCTCAAAAAACTGCCGTTGAGCCGTCGAGCGGGAAGGAAGGGGGGGGGATAGCGCGTGTGGAACAAAAAAGCTCCCCTCGCTCTACCGACCAAATGCGACTCCTCTACTGAGTATCCCCACGTACGACTACCCTGAATTTAATTGCCACTGTACTAGTAACAACCGACACAAAGGGGTATCATTTTGCTTTCACTTTTGTGAACTGGCATCTGGGAAGACGAACTGGGCGAGACGTCGACCCAGAGACTCCCTGTCTCCCTGAATCCTGCTGACACATAAAATGTACAAAATTAGGCGCAGTTCGGCTTCGTGGGGACACCAGTTAGTATCTGACTTGCACAGCCAACCTGGTGAAGACCTGTAAATTCCCGTGACCAAAAGTGGCTCACTTGCACCATCAAGCAGCTTCTCAAGAGTTTACAAGTCTCTTCTAAATTAGCCCTGTCAGTCAACACGAATCAACAAAGGGAACCCGCGAAAGTGCAAAATGCCCTTCCCAAGCCGAACAGTGCCTTAAATTGACATCAGTGTCATGGTTTTATGAAGACAGAAGTTGTAGACACATGATTTCTCCCCCTCCACACTAGTGCGCGGCTATTATTCGTTTCCAGCTCTCACCCACTTCCGGAACCACGGATTTTCCAACGAATAAACACACTTTACTCAACACGGACCACCGCCATTTAATGCCCACTTCAGCGCTCACGCCAACCTTTTCCGCTTTGCTGCTATCCACCTCTACATTGTTGGTCTTTCACATGTTTGTCGCCCACGATGAATATAATTGTGATATACACGACTCTTTCCTTTACAAAAAGTTCATATGGGAGTCTGGGTGGAAGTGGCGCAGAGCCAAGGGCAGAGTAAGCCGTCTGGATGTAGTTCCACCCACACCTAGCAAAATCCCGGCTTCAATAGCTGCTACAACTCGGACCACATGGAAGGATGAACACGCCTGCTTGCGCCAAATCACCGGAATGTGTAAAATGACCTCGACT